GGAGGGTTCCTTGCGCCTAGACTGAGATTGCTTGAAGGACATTATTCTTTAGCCAGTATTTTGTCCATTCAGCTGGGTGAGAAAATTTCTTCCTCCAAAACTTAATCTGTTAAGATTGTTAAATAATATGACTTAACAGAAAAGTATGCTAGTAATTCACATGCTTTATTTTGCAGCTAAAGCAGTTGCAAGATCTTCATCCTTTGCCTAGGATAATTTTAGAATACCGTCAGGTGAGCTGCTATTTTTCACATAGTTCAGTTGAACTGAAGCAAAATTAGCAAGGAAGAGAACATTCACAGCTAAACACATACAAAAAAGTTGGCTCTAATGTAAGTTCATTCCAATATTCATTTAAACTTTGAATTTGTAGGTATTCTTAAGAGTTTTTAAATTTAATGATTATATTTCTGGTTTGCAAGATGTTAGATTGTAGCCAGCGAACAACTGTCGCAAAAACAGTTGCAAAACTTCACTGTTAGATTTGTGTAGTGCTATAAAGTAAACTATTAGGGCAAAACATTTATTTTTTGACTTATGAGGAAATCCTCCACTGGAAATGAAGGAGATGACTAGTTATGGGGGAGATTTTAGGTGACAAGCCTCCTGAAAATTAAAAAGTAACGTGGTTTGTCTGCTCCCACACTTCATGTTTGGTTTTTCAGTGGATATGTTTCTAACACACTAAACCAACCCCCAAAAAAGTGTGGGTGGTATTAGGTGTGTGTATTTGTGCCGTGTTTTTGTGAAGTTTATCAACCTGGGGATAGAAGATGTAAAATAATAAATTCCAGTAATTCATTTAGTACTGCAAAGACCCAGCTTTAGCGTATAACCAAGCACTGCAAAGACCCAGCTTTAGAGTATAACCAAGCACTTACCAAACTTATGCTAGTAGGTCAAGCCATTAGTGAGTATACATCCATTATTTACTAAGATAAAACAAAGTCTAGTGAGCAAGTTAATATACATTTGCAAATTAAGATCTTAAACCTGCAAAATCTCTTATTTTTATAAATTAGCATTGATTTGAACTTTTATGTAATAATTTAGGTTCATAAGATGAAATCAACTTACGTGGATGGACTCCAAACATGCATGAGAAAGGTAGAAATACAAAAAGTAGCCTGTAAAATATGGTATTTCAAATAAATCATAAAAGGATGTGAAATGATTGCTGTGGTTACAGTTTAAGAACTTGTAAATATGGAAAATTGTGATTATATCTTTTTGATTTACTTAGTCCTGATTGCAGTGAGTTTTTATTACTGATACTTACATTAAATAAAATTTATATGTATGTCTTTATCCTTTTCTTTTTGGGGATTTTTACTTTACTTGACTGCAGGGATTTATTTCCTCTACATGGAATCAGACGGGAACTGCGACTGGCAGACTTTCAGCCAAACATCCAGTAAGTGAGCCCATTCAAAGACTTACATTTTAATTAGAATTAAAAATTATTTATATAAAATACGTAGTATTTTTTGCACATGAAATTTTCATTTTCATTTACGTCTAGCGGTTGCCCTATTGTATGCAAATAGTGGACAGGAAAAGCTTATTAAATGGATATTTTACTCTAGAACGTTTATTCTTACAAATATTTTCTCTTACCTGTGCAAGAGAATTTAACATTATTACATGAGGTAGAGGGGAAGAATTGTGACCATGCATGCACCCTATAGACTTCCTCTGAATCCATCTCTGTAAGGAATTCCTGGTGTTCATTAACCATTCCTCGTTAAAGGATCAGTGAGCCTTGGAAGGTAGCCTGGGGACCGCAGAAGGTGGGGAAAGGGAGCCCTTTTCTTCTGGAATTTGGCTTCAGGCCTCATAGGAGTGAAGGGATAAGCTGGCTATGCTGTTGCTCTGGAAGTCTTGGAGATGCTTACATAGCTGTGACACCTGGGCTTTTTGTGCTTCCTCTCCTGTCGTTGGCTATATTGATCTCCATGTACATGCTTGTGGCTGGAATGCGCTTTATTTTTTGCGTTTTTTGTTTTGTCAAAGTGGCCTTTTTAAGGACACATGTGAATATATTTTATTATACCATTTTACTTGGATTTGGGAAGCATACTGACCTTTGACTGTAGGTTCTGGTGGGACCTTTTGTGTTCCACTTCAATCACAGCCATAGCTGCATGGATGAGCGTGCAGGGGCTAGTGTGAGAGGAGACAGGGTTGCAGACTGCTTCAGGGGCTTGAGTCAAGGCATTAGGTGGGGGAATTGCAGTGTAAAAGTAGTGTTTGGTTTAATCATGACCTTTTTTAGCAAGTACTTGACTCTGGCCCTGGGGGGCGAGGGGGAATAAATGCAGAAGTGGGACTTGGCTCATGAAGGCTGGAAGGAATCCACAAAGCTGTTGTCCTTTTAACTTGTGCCTGAAAGTATTGTCAGTTCTTAACCACGCAAATTTGAGTACTGCTTATCTGTCTCTGCAGGTACTAGCCATAAGCTTAATGGGTACAAATGGCATTAGAATCTTTCTGCAGTCTTGGGAGAAAGGCCGTAGTCTTCCACAGCTCCACCTGGGAGTAGAGATGTTAGATGTAATGTTTATGTCGTGACCACTTTGTATGGGTGGGCTCATGTGGCCCCACACAAGTCCTGGCCACTGTGGTGACTTTTGGAGTTGTGGCAGAAACCTGTCCTGGGAGGTTCTCATCCTCACAATACTGGTGACTTCCTTAGCTCCTTTACCTGTCTTCACAGTTCAGGCTTCATTTATATCTTCCTACCCTCATGGTACGTATTTCCATACAATTTGTCATCAAACAAAGAGATAGTAAGACATTCAGTTTATAGAAAGCGGTAGTTTGTGCTTTTTGCTGAGTAAAAACCAGTGTCTAGGATTCTGAATTAACAAGGGAATACTGTGTTACTGCTGTTCCTGCTTTTCATGTGCCCAGATGGGGGGAAATGATGAGCAAGAATGGAAAAGATGATCATGAAGGTCACAGTTTGCTAAATATTCTGACATGATGAAAGGGCATCTACAAGTCAGAGCTGAACAGACAGCTGTCTTGAACAACCACATCCAACAGAAGGCAACCTTTGGCCCATCAAGCTAAAAATGACACAAAATCTGCTTTTCTTAAAGGTTGTTTTTCTCCAAAATAATGCAGCTAAAGTTAGCATCCAAGGTTGCCTAAGGCTGTCTTTTCCTTATAAGGAAAAACATTGGCATGTTTTTTTTTGTGTGAAATGTTTATGGAACTTATACCATCTGTTTCTGAATCATTTATTGATATAGAAGATATACTGCAGTGCCCAGTCACTCTACTGAGTTTTAAAGGATTGGGAAGATTCTTGCCAGAAATCATAAATATTGTAGATATTTTTTGCAGTTACTATGATGTTATATGAAATTTTAGCTGAATATTTGCTGAGATATTTATTTTTAACTGTGTTTTAAAATGCTTTAAGGGGTGATTAAAGCGACAGATAGGTGTAAATCAGATGAAGTGAGAATTCAAATAGAAAAAAACATCCCATTTGCTGGTTGTGGGAGATGGGGTTCCAAACAAAGGTTCCTTTCTTTCATTTGTTTTAATAAATGTAATGGCTCTATCTATCCTCTTGCCTTTAAGAAATGGAGTCCTTTTAAATGGAGACCAGGGGGACTTACTCATAGATTTAAGGGGAAATGACCAGACATTAGGTATAGAGCAGAATTTCTTTTTTGAATAAACTCTTCTGTGATCATCTTTCCGACAAATCCACATCTGATGTATGGATGATATCTGTTTTTGGCTTTATGTGGGTTTCTCTCATATGATAAACTTATTCACATGAATTTTTATGACTTCTGTATTGTAGGAACTTAGAAGGGTTTCTTGGTAGAACTTACTTCAGTGGCTCTCCATGTATACATCTATTTTAACAGTGCATTTCTCATTTGGTTTCTTCTACAATGTGTGCTGCATAATCCATGCATTTCTCACAAATAAGTGTTATATACTGATATAGTATATCATTAAACAGGGACACACTGGATATTGTAGTCTCCTGGTACAGCAGTGTAACTCTATTTGCTACTCCATGAGAACTTGCAAATCTGAAACCTATAAGTAAATATAAACCCTAAAATTCTTCAGTCAACTTAACTGAAAATATATCCATAGACTAGTTATGTTTTTTACTATGGATTGCTTATGACTCTTAGGGGAAGTTTATTAGTTAATTCGAACATGTTATTTTTAATTATTTTTGTATAAATATATTAGTCTCATCTACAGAAAGATACTCCATTATATTGCTCAGAGATAACCTTTATTGAAGAGATTTATGGCATTCATAAAGACTTATTTATGTTCTCCAAATCTACCTTGAAATACCTCTTCTCAGCCTCTCACCATTTACAGCAATAATAAATCATGAGAGAGGTGGAAAAGCATAAAGCCAATTAAGATCAAGGCTCTATCAGAATGAACACAGAGAAAGCCTCACTCCAGATATCAAGATTGCATGTAATTGGATGATATAATTTGGCTTATGATGTGAACTTCAGTGCTAGAATCAGATATTTTGTATTAAGGTTTCTTTCCTCCAGGCTTCTGCAGCAGGGAAAACTGAAATGCTACTAATGAGCTTACACTTCTGTGCTTCAGAAGATGTTTTTATCATTAAACTAAAAAGCACAAAGTGGTGGGCTTCAGGGAGCGCTTCCTTCCTTTTAGTAACAACAAATTTTGCTGCAGATAAATACTTCTTTTTACCTTTTCAGACCAAGTGAAAATGAAATAAAAGCATTTCTATTTCTCCCCAGGAAAAATGCTTTTACCAGCTTGCCCCCCAAAAACAAAGAAATAAAATAATTTAACCTGTCAATCAAAGAACGATGTTAGCCTTTAATTGGGATAGCAGGACTGTAG